ACAACTCGCGATGTGCTCAACAATACACTAGAGTACAGCTTCTGACTCGGTTCGGTTGTTCTCGGAGCTCAACACACTCTAAAATAAAACTCAATGACGCACCAACTCATGATATTCTAAGAGACTCTCTCAATTCACTCGGCGACAAACTCGGCTCTAGACTACGATACACTCGCTTTCTGACCGACCATCAATTAACTCTTCGCGTACCAGCAGGGTTTATATAGCTGTTGGCTTGTGTTCAAGAATATTCTGGGCTAAACCAGCAAGAATTCATTCCAGAAGGTTCTCCATCTGTCTATGGCATATCACCTATTTGTTGCCAAATGAGTGATTTCAGGCCAAATATGGCAATTCTGCCTTACCTTGCCATTTTTTGGCAACCCTGAACATACCTTGTGGGGAAGCTATCTTACTGCGCCTGGAATCTTGTAACTATATTTTACATTCGAATTTAATTTAAATAGTAAAATAACTGAACCATGAATTAAAGTCGGTGAAGTTCCTTTGAAATAATGTTACCACACAGCTTAAAGATCCGACTATGTGAACAAATGCGACTATTGGCCAAAATTTGACCTAAGCTAATTTCAAGAATGACATCAAATAACCTTTTGTAAATTATTTGTTAATGTAAAATGAGTTTTGATGCTGTTATTTCTTGAGTATTGCATACCAGATGTTACATTTTAGTTAAATCTTCTCTTTGTTTAAACTATGTATTAAAAATTATCAGTAGAGATTAGATTTTTAAATAAAGAATACAAATCACTGATTTAGAAATAAGATAGGAAATGAAGCTGCTTTTTATTTTCCTTTGATGAGAATTCCAGTGTTGAGATTATGACTGTTGGGCTAAACCTTACATCTGTCATTTTTTTGCAAGTATAAAGTAGCACAACTTGTTGTTAAATGTTGCTACTTTATGTATTTAAAATGGTGACTGAAATTGCAAGTAAAAAAAAAGGAAAATGTGCTTAGTTAAAGCATAATGATTGTATTTTAATAATGAATATAAGTGGCACTGGATTTAAGTAAACATACTACTTAACCTTATAACTGCTGCATCGTGTATATACGCCTTGCTCAGCTGATGCATTAACTGCCCCGGATGTATGTATATATATATGCCCTTCCGAAATACTATCATTTGCTTTGCGCTGCTACCAGTAAAATTATTCACAAAGCTTGCTACACCACATTGACCTCGACAGAGTATGTGAAGGAGGATACTATTTCAGAGAAAGGGGAATGTTTGTAAAAGTAATGACTGAGCAGTATTTGCTGGTGTTTCTCTTTGAGTAAAACATGCTTTTTTTAATTCTGTGTCTTCTATTTTTGTTTACTGTTTGTAGTATGTGCCAGGAATAAAGCAAGATATAATGGATGTTTCAAATGCACTTATCTTTTTTGAATTTTTCTTTGATGAACTGCTTGAGCTTCATATTGTTACTGAAACTAACTGTTTTGCAGACGAGTATATGAACCAACACCCTGCAAAAGCAAAATCAAGAACAAAATCGTGGCTATCAGCCAGTTCAGAAGAAATATGTTTTTTAGGTATACCGATTTCACGAGGTATATAACACTGAAACCTGATATTAAACTTAACTGGTCTAGAAATAAATTGATCGAAACTTCATTTTGGGGGATCTTTTTTATTATATAAACATTTTTATTATACTTTACTCTAAACATTAAATTTTGTGCTTTCATTTTTTCTTTATTTTGTGAAAGTAAACAGTTTTTAGAAAATAAAACTTGCACTTGTTTTCCTCCTAATACATCGCATAACTACACGCACCTGTGTGAAAAACAATGGCACTGGGTAGTGAAACTTGTACGTTTTCCGCGGCAGTTAAGTGGTTAATACTTAAGTATTATTACATTACTATTAGACATCTGAACATAAAATGTTTCAAAATTTTAGTCATTCATAGTAAAAGTGTTTATTTCTTATAGGATTTCTTCACAGGATCTATTTAGTGAAGAAAAAACTTAATACCATTTTATTTGAAATACTCAGTATTTAGTTCACTCGCTTCCCCTCTCCCCATATTGAATCACAAAATAAACAAAATGGGACAGTGCTATATCACCTGTTCTACTGGGCTGATTGATGAAATTCATTTTGTATTTTTATGCCTCGAAAGTGCGACTTAGGATATGTATTAGATTTATATATATTATTGTTCTAATATAGGTATTTTGACACAAAATCGGACTTTTTCTGAAATGGAATAACAATTTTTTTCCATATTTCGATTCTATGACTCAAATTATGCCAAACTGCGAAGTTTTGTAAAAATTGCATGAGTAGTTTTTAAAAAATTAGCTCCTCAGTTTTAATTGAATTTGGTATATACAGTGAAATACGTTTAACGCGAAAGCACTTAAGACAAAGTAATACAACAGTCCTGACAAACTACTATATATTTTCATGCATTTTGTTTTTCTTAACATGAAACAAAAATCGTTTAACATGAAAAGATCTCTGGAAATGAACAAAATACGAAAAATACTGGCCTCGCGCTCAGGATTTAAGAGGGGTATGAAATGAAAGAGAGTTGGTTTCGATTCTCCCTTTTTTTAATGGAGAAGGAGAATATTGAAACTGAGGCACACTTAATGAAATGTTTGAGAAAGTTTCTGCATTATTGAACTTACTATATTATCGAAGAATTCATTGCAGTAATTGATGATAATGTGGGTACAGCCCCAATTATGGTAGACAAAGGCATTTTGGAACTTGTAAGCTAAAATAATATCATTTATACAGATTCCAATGACGAAAATGAAATGAATAATGCTGCTAATGTTCCCACGTCATCTGAAATGAGGAACATCATGAATAGTATGCACAGTTATTTAGACACACATTCCAATGGTGAAATGAATAACAAAATGAACAACCTTGAACAATTTGATGCTAAAAAAGACTGCAAAGAAAAATATCAAATTATTTTCCAAAAACTTAATAAATGTTTTATGTATCAAATATATATATATTTTCATTAAGTTCTAGATGTTTTTGTTTCATTGATTTTTATTAAATACATGCATATATACATATCTATGTCAGAAAATGTACTCCAGGAATTTAATTTTGTTGAATATATATATTTCTTTCCAATATCTCTTTAACACGAAATTCTTTTAACAAAAAAAAAATTTCAGCCCCCCCCCCAGTTTCGTGTTAAACGATTTTCACTGTATTTATTAATCTTTTTTTTTTTTTAATTAAACTTATTTGATTTTTCCTTTCTCATTTCAAAATTTAGGTTCATTTCAAATAAAATTTCCTCATTTTTTCCCTCATTTTTTATGATTTGTTTTTAAAATAATTTTTAGGGGAAAAAAACTTGAATTATAATCTATAAAATTTTTTCCATCATCTTAAAGTAGATGTATTTCTAAAAATACCTGCAAAAAATTAGTTTTTTTTATTCAAAATTTATATAATGCCATAAAGATAGACGCAAATTTATATAATGGCACGTTTTGAAATTTGGCATATTTGTTTAAAGCAGTAATAACATCAAATGTGGTTTAGGCACTAACAATTTTTAATAGTAGAAACGATGTGACTTCCCCCCCTCTCATGTACAATGTAAAAAGGGAAAGGAAATAGGTTGCATATATTAAGAAATTCGCCAATTGATTTATTCTTGGCGCAAAATGGGAAAAAAAAAAAAAAGTCAAGATAAATTTTTTTAATTTCTCCGTAAATTTCGCACTAAATTTTACAAAAATTAATATTTAAGCATAATTTGAGTCGCAAAATCGAAATATGAAAAAAAAAATTGGCATGTCATTTCAGAATTGTGGAAGTCTGAGTTTGTGTCAAAATACCTATATTGTTAGAACAATGTTATATATAAATCTAATAGTACATATCCTCAGTCGCACTTTCAAGACACGAAAAACACAATTTGAATTTTGTTAATTACTGCAGTAGAACGGGAGATATAAAACTCGCATTTTTTTCCTGCAGTGTACATCTTTGTATTTGAAAATTATGTTAATTCATAGTTCATGGTAATCAGATTTACTTTAGAATAATTAATGCACAGATTTAGTAATAAAGTCTGCATATTTGAAAATTTGCCTTCCACTAATAAAATATGAATATCGTAAACGAGCAGGTTAAAACCATTTAGAGATTTTGAATAATTAAAAAAAACTAGTTAATTTATATATAAATACATATTTTTATCAGGATAAAATTAAGTAAGGCCAGTCAATGAAGTATTTATACTAGCAGGTATATTTTCCTTGCAATAATTAATCTCATTTAAAGCAAAAAAAGTTTAAAACTCATTCCTTAAATATGCTTTCCCCCCACCTCATCTATAAATATTTTATTTTGCTTGGGATATTTTTAATGGCTTTGTGTTTTGCAAATATAGTCTCTTTTTAAAAATGTGATGGGAAAATTATAATTTTTTAAAGAAATGAGTCACTTTGCTTGATAAAAATTGAAGTACTTTGGGTTGTTTATTAGAATTTCATATTAAAGATGAAACAAATTATTTGCCTTGAAAAGGTGATATGTTTCTAATAAGTGAAGAAAGAGCTAATGCTACTTTTTTATTACAAACATCATTTTATTTTTCCACAAATGACATATTTATCTAATGAGGAAGAGCTTTTTTTAATTACAAATATACAGTTTTTATTTTTTATGTGGATAAAAATAAAATTTGTATTTGGTTATAAAGACACACTTATGTTTGTAACTCGGTGATCGTGTAAAGTTTTTATATTTAATAAAAAGCTCTCATTAAGTATTTTAGTTAATATATATAATTTCTATTTAAGTATAACTGTTAGTTTAAAATCACATACCGTTAAGAGTTTCAGAAGTAATGTTTTAATGTAATTTATAGCGTAACAGGTAAGTTCTGTGTAAGTATTGGAGGCGATATACAAAACTTTTTTGTATTATCGCTTACTTCCAATGTTTTTATGCTAATCATTCCTTAATAAAAACATTTCAGGATAATTCATCAATTTCAACGCTTCGCAAGTCTTCTTGCAGCAAAATGCATCACTGCATGCAATCAAGTGACACAATTTTCAAAATTGGTTACTTAGAATTTCATCGAAGAATCTAACCTGAGTTCTACATCTGCAACCACTTCTGAAACTTACATTAGCTGATTGATTTGTCTGCATTCCTCAATGAATACCTGTTGCTCATCTCTAACATCTTGCCGAGTCAACAAGCTAACTAGTCATTACATCTGCTATTGGGGACAGGATTACCGCGACACCTACCTACGATAATATATTCCTCGACCACCACTGCACTGCTATCTCATACTTCCCTCCACCCACAATCCTTCATCACTTACACCCCGAATCAACATGCCAGGAAAATTCGTAAGAAACTTTATTAAAGATTGACTTTACTTCCTTACCCATTAGTTTGATCATCATTTTAGCATTTCTATTTTAATTTTTATAATTTAATGTTTTATTGAAATATTAGTTTTTATCATCAGTAAACAATTGTGATTTATCCGTTTTGCATTCAGGAAACTAAAAATTTTGTCAGTGTATAAAGTATATCTTTTTAGATTAAAAATACAGTTAACAAATGTATTGTAAACTGAAATATTTGTAATAAATATGCAATTTCATCCTTTTTTTATTTACTTAAAAAGACTGTGCTACTAATTTCATGTTTTCAACTAGGAATCGGCGAAGATATTCAAGAAGCAGAAGTAGGAGTAATAGTCCACGTTATAATCGTCGTTCGAGACGAGAGAGGTCATATTCCAGAGAGAGAAGATAAAAGTAAAATTTTTTTCATATCTGTTAGTTGATTCCATCATTAAATATTACTTTTTAGTACTTGTATATTTAATTATTTATGTAGTAAAATGCAAAATATTAGCTCATATGATGAAGAGAAACCAAAGCATTATTTGTATAGTATAACTTTTTCTATTATTTTCATGAAATGTTTGTTTAGATAGAGAAATGAACACTTTCAAGTATATATATGTGTGACTTTCTTTATTTCTTAAAAATGTAATTTACTTATCACTCATCACTCAAAAGTTCATTTCAAGAATAATTTAAAATAAGAGAAATTTCTTATAGGTTGAAGATGATAAATTCTCACTGGGTAAACATTAATTCTTTCATAAGGACTGCTGATAAACAAGGAATGATTTCATCTTGCTTTTTCTGTTTGAATCTTCTGTAACAAAAAACATGATGTATATATTCATTCTTATGTATTTTAATAAACATTAGTTATCTTGTATAGATTGTGTGAATTTAATTTATTTTCAAAATCACCATAAGATTGTTCTTATAAATATTTTGCAACTAAATTGTAAGGATAAAGTAGTTTTCCCTTCTGTTAAAATTTCAAAATTTGTTCAAAATTATACTTTTTAGAAATCGTGTATTTATCAAATGGATAAAATTCCTGTGAAAATTCTTCCATATAGTTTTCTAAGTGCATTAGATATTCCACTAAGAATGGACATATTTTTTGTTGTGCATTATTTTATTACAATGTGTAAAACTGGGGATCTACAAATCTTGGTATTTTGATAGGATGGATAAGGAATTCAATTTATTAATTTATCAGTATTGTAAAAGTATATTTTTCACCAATTAATATTAAAAATAATGAAAAGTAACTGAAGCTGCCCTTTGAAGTTTTACTATTTAAACATTTCTATAATTTTTCCTTATATATATCTGCTTCTTCCCCAAATAAATCCTTATACTTCTTGGGCTTAAATTATAGTCCAGGAATTAACAGACGATTTTTCAAATTAAAATTTTTTACTTTAATTTTTGAAGAAAAATATACCACTATGTCAATAATGGTTAAGCAGCTGGTTAAATTGCACATCATGAGAAAGGCATCCTCCAACTCAAGTCATACAAGTGTTTTTACTTAGTTATGTAAAGTGAAAAGTACTTTTAAATTGAACATAACTGATAAAAATTTTCTTTTACCCTCTCTTCATTTAACTTTCTGAAGCCGGCTGGTACAGCAGTTGTACCAGGAAAATGACCTTCCTTAATGCCAGCTCTGGTACAACTGTTGTACCACCCATTCCCTCCCTATTTTAGGGAATCGCCTATCTGTAGATCTCAGGGTGGTCCATTGTGGCTGCTCAGAATAGCCGCTGGCTATGCATTATTTCCCTCTTATCAGTTTGGCTACATTTTGGCAAAAACCGCAGTTTTCGTTTCGTGCCAATATACTTGAAAATCAAATAGAGGCAATTTCTAATTTTTTTAGTACTGACTTTCGCTATGATTAAAACGTCAGCGATTTTGCACGCTGTTTAAGCTTACCAGATTTAATGCTTTTTAATCATAGCAAATAAGAATAGATTAATTTTTTAGATTTAATGCCCTTCTAGAAAATAGCTAAAACTGCTTTTATCGTTTACTTCCTTTTTATACTTATGAATAATAAGATTTTATTTTGACATTTTTTTGGAGTGCATAAAACCCTTAAGAATGTTAACTCTTTCAAAGTGCTTCTATTATATAGGCAATTTGTCTGAATTTATCAGGAGATAAATAAGAGACAATTGAATGCATTATAGTTTTTGTGATTTTCATTCATTCAATGATTTTCAATGATTGTAAATTAAGTAAAATCAATTTATCTTTAAACCCTCTTTTAGGATGAGATCTGCCAAAAAGTGTTTAAATATCAGTAAAGCTCACACTACTTTTAAATTGAATCAAAACATCAGTTATATTGTATAAAATTTCAGCCAGTTTTATTTCCTGAAATTCTTATACTCCTCAAGAGATAAAGGGAATTCAGACAAGTTAATAAAAAAAATCTTTAAAAAAGCTTATTAATTTGTCTGTAATAAGGTGTATGTCAACTTACTAGTATTAAATGTATGAGAATTAGGATTGGATTACGGAAAAGCACGCGAACGCTATCTGCTTAAGGGGATGGATGGTTGCGTGTAAATCTTTTTTTAAGAGAAAATTGCTCGCATTTACGTTCCTGGCAGAAAACTCCACATGTAATCAACCTGTTCTTCGGGTTTGATTGGATTAATTTTGTTCGCTTACTGAATTACATCAAAGCGCACAACAATTACCTGTATAAGGGGAGGGATGCCTTCACAGAGGACTTTCTAAGGGAAGCTCGCTTGCATTTACGTTACACAAAAACCATGAATCCAACCCTTTAGCCTGGATTCAAACCCGAGCGAGCTACAAGTGTTCAGCCACCTTTACCGCTCTACTGAAGGGCCCGTAAAAAAAAACTGATAGAGAAAAAGTATTGAAATAACCGATTTAGTTTACTAACTTATATTTCTCAGACAGTACATAAATTACGCATATGAGGGGATTATTTGTGAGTAAATAAACTGTGTTGCACTTTTCTCTACTATTTCGTATTGCGATGGAATTGTTGCATTTCAAAGTTATTTCTCACGAATTAATTTAGCTCCATTCATGATTTTTTATATTTCCAAAGAGAAAATTTCGCACTTTAAATAAAAAAATACACGAGAAGATACTTTATGCAAAATTTGGTGTAAACGGTTTTCTTAATTTTGCTTTGAAAATATTCCAGGGTAATCGTTTTCATTACTGGAAGAAATATGAAAAACAGATTTACTACATTGTAAGTGTCAACACCCAGTACGTCCTTATTCTTTTGAATACATGAAAGATTACTCTTTCTAAAATAAATTAGAAAATACATTATGTGCAAATAGAATATTCGTTGAAAATGAATTAGACTTCAACCTTTGGATATAACGATGGTTTTAGACGAAATTTCTACCTACGAAAAGAAATTGACGTATAATTAATTCTTCATGAACATTTAAAACTGTTCTGAAAAATACTTTAAATGATTGCATGTAAGTCACAGATTTTTTTTCTCTGCTAACACAAACAAAAGCCAATTTTACAAAGAAAAATTCTCGTTAAAGATATACCTCCTTTGCCTGATGGTCCAATGTAATATTTGTGAAAGTTAAGTGATGAAACGCAACCAATGTATCTGATTTTCTTTTTTATATTGTAATAACAAAATTATCAAAAAACACAGATTTAAATCTCTGTTGTTATGTAAAGCTTTATTATTGCTGTAAGTTCATTTCAAAATCTAATTGTATTGAATCTCATTCTAATCATCTAATAGTAATAAATATTATTATTTCATTAAATTAGTCATTACCATTATTTTGTTAATGAAAATATGTTATTAAAAATCGCATTCCAGCCTGCAGACTTACAAAGCTAGTTCATATGTATTACATTTTGTAAAATTTTGTTCTTTTTTTCTAATTTCTAATACGAAATATAAATGAAGAGTGAAAACAAAGTTAAAAAATTCACAAATTATTTACGAGATTGATCAGAAATAGTGAGTAAAATATAAACATTGCATACATTTTGTTCTAAATAAATAGTGCACTGGATATGCAACCAGTACTGTATATTTATTTAGAACTTCATTTAAATGAAAGCAAAATAATCATCGAAAAAACCCAAATCTAGCAACCCATCTACTATGGGGGCAGCGTCCAACAAACACGTAAATTTTACTGCATCTATGGAGGGGGACTAACAACTTTTTTTCATTAGGAAATTGTCAAAGAGGGGGCAAAACTGTTTCGGATCGCGCCGGTCTGAAGGCTATATTATGAGAATTTTGGTCTGGTTTTAGAAGGTTAACAAACCGATACAAATCAGGTGACTTTTTAAATCTTTTGCTATCAAATAGAAATCAAGTTACAATGAATAATGTATGCATTAATTAAATATTGATTTATTTAACAAAAAAGCTGCTATAGAAATTTTTTTTTGTAAAGCAACTGTACCCATATTTAGAAAAAAATCAGAAATACTGAAGAAATGCAAGAAAGCTTATTTTATTTGGATGCAAGTTCTGAAACTAAATTAGTCATATGTAGAGCTTTAACTCTCCATAAACCAGGTTTGACTTTGACTACATGAATAAAAACATTAAATTTTAAAATATAATTTAGAGAGATAAAATAAATATGCCCTTTATAAAGACTGAATTACATGTACGTATTTATTTTGCCCACCCAGCAGCCATGTAGTAAAGTTGTTGAACACTAATAGTTCAATTTTGGGGTTCAAATCTGATGAATGGACAATTTTCCTCATGTGTAATGTATATATGAGCTAATTCAAAAATCCTTCATGAAGGCATCTCTTCCCTTGGCAGATAGCTCTCAAGTGCTTTGCTATAATTCAACCAACCAAACCTCCTTTGGCAGATAGCTCTCAAGTGCTTTGTTATAATTCAACCAACCAAACCTTACTTATTTCATAGTTATGTACAGCATTTTGGAGATTAGTTCAGGAATGCAGAAATATATCCCATGAAATCTGCTTTAAAAAAGGAACAACAAAGAGAAAAGAAACATAAAATATAAATAAAGTTTTAATGATTTATTCTTCAACTGCTGCAAATTACAAGGGATTTAAATAGCTACACCCTCTTAAAAAGTTTCTGCCCACTCCTATGGCTTTTTGCTATACTCATTATACTACAGCAATACCTCTAACTGCAGCTACTTTAAGAATTAAAGACTGCTTAGAGAGTTTTAATTTAAAAGTAAACATTTTAACAAAACTTACCTATATGAAGTTAGTTAAATACTGAAGAAACTGTTAAAAATTTTCCCTTTTTTTGGGAAATAAGAACTCTGTTTTGTAGTACATTCTTGTATATTTTTAAGCTGTTTTGATTAAAAATTTGGGAAAATTATTGCACTTCTTTTCAAAGACATTATTACATATTTATAGAGATATTGCTATTTGATTATTATACTGGTTAGAAATCTATAAAACATAAGAAAGTGACAGTGCAGTCTTTCTCACAGCACAGAAAATAGAGCTGCTTTCATTCATGCTTTTTGTAGTGAAATTTCACACCAAAAGTTAAGAGTTGAGAATGTTGTTGAGCATACTGTTTCAAAGATAAGGTTTCGTAATACATAAATTTTTAACAGAATTCCAATTGCTTATTTGCATTTCTGAAATTATATGGCATAACTAAAAATGAATAATAGCAAACTTATCATTTGGGAGTACATGAAAACAATGATCATCCTGGAAAGTTCTGTAATTTTTCATATTGAAGCACATTTTCTTCTATTTTGATAAAGAGTGACCTTTATCAAAGTGGATGTTCGAGTACAGTTTTTCTTTGGACATTCATCCTCTACAAACAAGAACCTATTAAAAGAAGCTGTCAATGAATATCCACGTTATACAGAT